AAATTTTTCTTTATTACATTCTCCATCATGATGAGTAGAATATATTTTGAAGTGTTTTATATAATTTGAAAATACTGCTTCTACATGATGTGTATATCAATCTAGATGAATTTATAGATATTTTTTTTTGTTCATAGCTTGCTGTGAATGTAATAGGTTCATATGAAAACAATTTACTTTTAATATTGGCTACATTTTATAACCAATCTTAACTTTCTAGCATTTGACATAGCGGAGAAATTTAGAACGTATGGATAGTCCTTAAATCAATCTCTCATTTGTTTTTTTAGAAAGTTACCAGAAGATTTTGTGTTTGATTTTGATGGAGTATTCATGTTCTTTTTTCCATTTGTTTCTGTTTGTTGAGATCCACTACGTCGATTATTATTCGTATTTGTTCCTGTCATTGTTGTATCACGTTTTGTTCGTCTCATAGCAAGACGTTCTTCAGATTCATATTTATATTGATTATAATTAGAATTTGGTAAATGTGATCCAACATTTCCCATTGTCATCGGATGTGGTGGTACATCAAATGATGGTCGATTAGGTGGTGGATATCGATTTATTGGATGTTGATGATGATGATGACCACGTGATCCGGATTGCATTAAAGGTTGAGGTGTTTGTGGTGGATAATAAGGCGGTTGCATAAGTGGTGCATGATGACGTTGATGATGATTATGTGGAAAATTGAATCGACCAGCGCCACTTGTTTGTTCAGTTGGATGTATCATTGATCGATGATTCGATGATGGATAATATGGATGATTTGGTAAGAGAGGTGGTACATTTTGTTGATGTCCATAAGGTTGTGGTTGTTGTTGTTGTTGCTGCTGTTGTGATGGTGGCGGTGGTGGTGGTCCTGGTAATAAACCACCAGATTGCCTTGTTTGTTGCCAATGTGGTTGATGATGAGCATGAGGATAATGATGATGTGATGGATAATGTATTGGAGCTGGTGGATAATTATTAGTAGTGTTATTATTATTTTCACTATATTCATTATCATCATCATAACTATTTGAACGACGTCGTGGATGATGTTTATTTGAACGTCGTTTAGATGATCGATGTCGACTTCGACTACGTCGTTTATGTGATAATGATGAAGATGATGATGATGAACGAGAACGAGAATGCGAACGTGAACGTGAACGAGAACGCGATCGAGAACGTGAATGAGAACGTGATCGTGATCGTGAACGAGACCGAGAACGAGATAATGAACGACTAGGAGGTGAAAGAACAGTTTGTTTGGAAGCAGAAGATGGATTTATCGCATTTTTTAATTCATCAATTAATGTCATTGAAGCTGTTTTTAATGGACGATTTTTAGATGTCAATTTCTTGGTTATTTCTATAGACGAAGCTGTTGTTATTTCAGCGATTTTAGAATCAGCTAAAATAAACAATAAAATAGATATTTTAATTCAATTCTATCTAACAAAGGTGTGGATTTTCAGATAAATGTCTATGCTTATAAATATTAAAATAAAAACAATTTTGTCAAAAACCAAATTTAAGTCACTCATCATTGTGAAAGGAAAATTGAACTGAAATTTGGCCTACAAATGTCAGGCATAGGTTATACTAGAAATACTTTTCAATGCTCTTGTAAAACGGCTTGTCCGCGTAACGCGACACTTCGCTGATCAAGTTTTGAAAAAAATTTTTTTCGAGTTGGACAGATCTCATTGGACTATTAGATGCAGTTTTTTACGCTGATTACGAATTCGATATTGATTTAGCATAAAAATCAGATTTTGATATCAAAAATCGGATTTTAAAATTTTCAAAAACCGTATTTTGGATTTTTTAACCAAGAAATTTTTTCAACAAGGGCTAAGAGACATACCATTCAATGCAGAATTAAATTCTCTACAAAATGGTCTATTTAGTTTTGACTTTGGTAGCTTAGAATGGATCGAAAGCTTCGATAAGGTTTCCAACTTCCTGCCCAGTTTATAAGCTCT